TGAAAATACGTGAACTTCCAAATATACTCAAAGGTCGAAATAAAATCGTTTGCCACGAAGCGTTTCACAGTTTGTTTCGTTTTGCGGTATTTGGCTTAGCCCCAGCCATGGTCAATCGGCAAAATTGGGAAAACAATTCGAAGTGAGATGAAAACGAAAATAATAGGTAGTCAAAGCGATATTCAAAATGAAGTTCTGATCCGAGAAGTTGACCGCCCGGAATTTTTACGGAAGAAGTTCGAGCGCCGGTGCCTGTCGGGAGAAGCATTGTTACTCCAAAAAAGGCCGGTTGAGAGCCACTCAGTTCAGATGTGCTTCTCCTGGATGTAGGGATCACCAACGAGAGCGGTCGGCATCTCTTCCAGAAGCGTAGTATCCCGAGGATCCCTCACGGTGATGGTCACGGGAACGTCCTTCGCGATGAGAGGTGTAGCGGCCATGGTAACCCGATGAAGCTCGATTCCAAGAGGGGGGAGTATCTCGATGATGTCCTCGGCGATCAAATTCAGTTGTGTCGCGTTGTGCGTTGCGGGCGGTGGTGTCCCGGGTGTGATGGTGTGGTGTCGAGTTTGGTGCCGTTAAAAGCAGTTGAAGGAAGTTCCGTCGGTGAAGGTTCGGGAGGATCGCCTGCTACTGCAAGACGTCGAAGCACGGGTGGGGATCGGAGCCTTGGTGATCAGTTGGGGTTATACTGAATGGGTTGATGCCACATAGGATACCGATGCGCACTTCGAGCTCATAGCCGTTGCACCGTCCTTGCCCTTCGCTATGCCAGCAATAGCACAGAGGCGTTGAATTTGGTCGTTTCCACCCGATTGGGCACGAATGCATTTGGGTGACCGACACGTGGCCAGGATCCCCGAGGGGTTTTGTCCTTTGCCAAGCTTGTAGAGGTTAGAAGTGCAAACTCGAATGGCCCACACCTGTAATTCATCGGTGTCTGCAATCTCAAAGGAGTATCCGAAGAACCCGTAGCAGGGGAATTGGGTTGGGATGCCAGCTTCGTTTTTTGCCCAGCTTGCTGGCCGGACGCAATTTTCCACCAGAATTGTGGCAACTGATTCCCAGCTGGTTTTGTGGTAGCTGATGTAGGTACCGGATTGTTCTCCTTTGAAGATGTCCTTCTCGGGGAGGCCCGTTGGTACCGCGATGGTCAGCAAACACTCGGGTTCGACGAAGAAACCTTGTGTTTTCCTTGCTAAATTGAGATCTACACCCATACGCCAAAGTCCTTGCAATGTTTGCGTTTGACAGCTATTCCCAATCAAAACGCTCGCCACGACCCCTGTCCCGGCACAGACCTTGCAAAACCCCTTTCCCCATTGGAAACGCTAGCTTTAACAAGTCTTGACCAAACTATCATGGTTCCATTCATTTTTGATCGAATCCCATCGGAACGCCGGTTTCCAACGGGCCTTTTTTCGTGGGTACTGTTGACGCTCACAAACAAAAACGCGAAGCAGGCCCTTTTCCTAGTTTGTATACTGCAGGATGGGTTCTGATAAAGGAAAAAAACGAGGTCCAAAACGAGGTCCAAAACGAGGTCAAAACGAGGTACGGAAAAACCCCCGCATCTACACACATGGACTTTGGCCCGCAAGCCGCAAACCTGCCCTTCCTTGGATCACTGGTAGCGAAACAATGACAATTTGCAGAATCCCAGCACACCGCCATGGCAGTGTAGAGATGATAATCCCAGCGTTGTGTAGAAGTACCCGGAAACAGCAACAGCAGCAGCCGTCGAACCAGCAGCCGCAGCAACAGCAAGACGCCAGTAGCTGCAGAACCCAACAGCAACCATCCCAAACACAATGAGAACGCAACTAGCAAGATTAAAGCACTATGCTAATAGTAAACAACGCCCTACCCCAAACACAACCTAAACGCCGCTTCGCCACTTTAGGTCTACATGAGATAGTAAAACAGCAACCTACCCTAAACACAAGCTAAACGCCGCATCGCCACGACTTCCACAAAAGCCTTCCCCCAAACTAATTTCAAGATTTTTGGGATTTCGCCACGACTTGGGCAGTTGGGAGTAGCAACCGGGCTTGGGCAAAGGCCTTGGCGATGTTGGTCACTGTGGAGACGCTGGCTTTGATGTATACGGTTTCATTGGCCGCCGTGGTGTAGGGTTTTGCCGCTTTGCCAACTGGCTGAACATCTCGTCAATGAAGTTGTTGTACAAGATCTGGGTGGGGTTATCCAACTCGGTTCGAATCGAGACCACATGAGAACTGCCCAGTTCGGTGACACAGCGGGCCCGATCGGGGTCAGCAGCTGCCGATTTCGTTTCTTCAATGTCAGTGTCTCCTGGTTCGTATGCGGCGATTGAGAAGGATTCTTCAAAATCTGATGCATCGCTGTCCCCCGTGGCAACCCTGTAGGAAACCGAACCCAATGGTGCCGTACGGCTGAGATGTTTGGAGGAGGGCCTAGTGGTGAACGAGGTCGTCGGTCATCAGGGTGTGATGAGCATCAGATTGGTTGTTTTTCCAGTCACCCCAGGTGTCATCAGCATCCGGTGTAGTAATAAATCCAGGGTCCAAGCTACGTGCTGCCGGTGTCAGGACAATGGTACTTCGGGAAGGTGTTCGGCTGCGTCAAGGAGGATTCGGTGTAGGGTGACGGCGTGGTGGTTCTGGTCGACGGGCTGGAGATCGGCGACGGTATGGTGAGGGTGTTCGGCGACCCTTTGGGTGCTTTGTTGTGGAACGGTGTCTTGGAAGTGGTGATCGAGGACGTTGTAGTTGACGTTGCGGAGAATCACGATGAGGACGATGATGTGAGCGTCGTCGAGAGCGCGATCGGCGAGGCCTGGGTGTAGGAGTACCCGTTGGTGTTGGCGATTTGGAAGGAACACGAATCGGTGGAGCTGTTGTTGCAGATGATGTAGTGTGGCCAGGTGCTGAAGGTTCAGCTGGTCGGGCTTTGGTTGCAGGAACAGGTGTAGTCGATGGCGGTGTAGGTGATGTAGTTGTCGGAGGGTTCTGACGAAGCTGTTGTTGTTGTTGTTCCTGAATGCGGTGAGACTCCATAAGGAGCTGTTGTTGTTGTGCTTGAATGAGACGAACAGATTCAGCCAGTTCCTTAGTATAGTAGTGCCCAGGCTTGCCAAGTCTTGTTGAATGGCTGGAGGAACTGGAGGAACTGGAGGTGCACTGGTTGTCGAGGTAGTCAGAGGTGCTTGGGCTGAACGACGCGGTCTCTCTGGTCGTCTCTCGGTACGGAGCTTCGGGGCGGCTTTGACAGCTGTGTGTTTAGGATGTGCCGAAGGTTGTGTCATTGTAGTCGGAGTCGTAGGTTGAGGTGGATGAAGAGGTGGTGTGGCTGATGAGCTTGGCATCGTCGGAGACGGAGGTGGACAATGTGATTCGTGTACTGGAACGGAAACAGGTGGGCATGAGGTGGAAAAGGATGGTCCAGTGTGGGCAACAAAGTTTGTTGTTGGAGTCAGAAAAGTCGGAACCTCAAAGCGAGTCGCCGAAGGTGTCGGTGGGAAGATATGATGTGGAGGTTGTACCACAGGAGGTGAGCTAGCAAGGGACGAGAAAGTTGGTGGCGATGGCGAGCTGGTGGTAGTCGGCATCGAGGTTGTGGTAGGCCATGAAGAATGTAAGGCGGATGGATGTCCGAAAACATGATCTGTTGATCCTGATGACGCAGATGGCAGGGATGATGGGGTCATTGAATAATGTTGCGGATCAACTTGATATCCTGGATGGGGTAATGTGAAGTTGGTGGCCAAGTTGGTGCCGTAGGTGGGGAAGTCGAAGAAGGTGGCCATGACGTCGAAGGGGAAGTCCACGGAAGCATAGCCCGAATTGAATGGAGAGAAATTGATCGAATAATAAGAACAACATTCCAAGCAGGACTCAGTTCCTAAATACCTAAGAGTCGTGCGTTATTCCCTTGCCGGGACGGTAGTCAGGTCAGCCCAGAGGGCATATATAACAACTAGACAGATTCCATCGAATTAGGTGCACAATATGTTTGACCTCACCAGAAACCAAAGAGACCACACCTGCAGGAAAAGGACATGCCTGTTGCCTTCTGTCGCTCGTGTCATGTTTTACCTCAGAAGCTGAAGCTGCAGTGAAAACGGAGTTTCTGACTGTTCCGAACAGCTGCACGTGGTAGACAGGAATTTCGGCGAGGAACCCTGGGACTTACTGAAATGAATTACTAATTCAAAAGTGTCAATTCTGAAATCAGGTCAGTCGTCATTCACCCTGAAAAGGGTTCCCTCACTTGGGTCCATGGCACCATGTCGGAGCCACCATGGAAATCACACCAGACAAGAACTGGATCATTGTAGTGATCCGGCAGGAACTGAGTCCTGTAACGTGCAAACCAGCCTAGACCATTAGACTTACAGTAGATCCCCTTGTAGTACTTCTCGAAAACGATGTAGAGCATCGAATGTTGTCCAACGGAGTCCAAATCAGATTCCCAAAGTTTGAATAAAAGCATCAGGTTGAAAATACAAAAATAATAGCAACGATGAAGTAGGTTTCGGCGATGGGTTTCCCAGAATAATCAAAGAATACATCGGCGACATGGCTTCGGCGAAATAATCGAAAAATATAATCGGCGACATGGTTTCGGCGAAAACACAGATTGTGGCAACCGTGAAGTGAAAATGCAGCTGTGCGGTTCTAGGCTTGGCCGCTTGCCATGTCGATCAAAATTGCAACAAAAATGCAGGTACGTCCAGCTGGCCAAGCTGGATATCCCATTTCACTGGTAGCTTCGTTGGACACAGTCCCAGTGAAATGCTGTGTCCCCCTGCAGAAGTAAAATACGGTGAGTTGATCCATGAAAACCACGAAAAGATAGAAGTTTCACATCTATTCAGATGTGTCACACACACACACAGATATATATATATATATATGTAGAGACAGGGGAGGGAGGGAGGGAGGGAGAGAGAGAGAGAGAGAGAGATCTTGAAATCTACTTCAGCTGCTTTGCCGATGTGGATGTGCATGGACGTGCGCCTAGCTTGCATTGTCGATTTGATCTCCTCCGCCCTGCCAGCCTGACACACCCGAACAGTTCAGCAAGTGTCTGTCTGGACTTTGGTTGATTTGAGCTTGAATCTGTGCGTATCCTGCTGCTAGAAGCTGTGTGATCGTGTGCATGTGTAATCTCTCATTGGGGCTTCGGTGCCACCCAACATCCCTGCACATGAGGTCGTGGCTTTCGACTCCTCAATCCAGGACTATGCAATGGAAGCATGAGCAATGAGCATGCAAAATACCAGCAAGAATCTGAAAATGATTGAAAATGGACTTGCTAAGTCAAAGTCAAATGGTGGAGGTGGCGGAACTGTCCTTGGCTGAAGATAGCTAGAGGTTAATTGGCGAGACGAAACCAGCTCAAGCTACTCTTTGACTGTATTACACTTGTGATGCGGGCAGGGTACATTCGAAGATTCTCGCCCTTGATTTTGGCGCTCTGTCCATTAGACCCATCTGCAGATGAGAGCTGCACATTATAGCCTCGGCAAAATTCAAATGTTCATGTTCAACAATAACAAGCCCACGTTGTTGTGCTATGTCAGCTATGTGCTCAGGTCCAAGAGAAGGATTTCAAGAACTGTCGTTCCGCATCCCTAAAGGCTCCAGGATGCTTGTGTGGCAAATGCCTTGCTAGTCACGCTAGTCGCCTAGCCTCAACGCTTCGCCGCTTCGCGATTCACCCAACAAATAAACTATTTCTGGGCACCCCGCGTCCTGTTTCTTGATCCAGCGACTGCACGGTTCCATGTAACCCGTTGAAACCAGGATATTTGGTGAGACCTCAAATCACAGCTGCACCAAAAGTATTAAATGATTGATAATTAAATGATAGTTAAAGTTAAATTGTTTACAAATGTTCACAATCATTGAGCCGCAACTCGTCTACACTCTGGGTGCCCACCTTCAATGACCACTTCGGTGCCAGGGGCAAACATCTCCTTCACTACATGTGACTTGGCATGAGCAAAATATAATCTACCTTCCCCAGAAAGTTGCACCGTCTTTCAGCTTTGCGCTGCGTTCTTGCTGAAATTCTGGTAATTACTTTAATGGCGTTCCTCTCCCCCAGACTTTCTCACTGCCCCAGACTGCATATAAAGGTTGTATCACATGTGAAACTCCAAAGCAGATTCGCACAGATACAAAAGTGTGGGAAGAAAGAGTCCTTAGGAGCTTCCGCTGGCAAAGTTCTGGCAGGCTCCGTGATCTCTTTGGTGCTGCCTCTCACCACAAGCCATGCTAATCCCTAATCGCTACGAACGCCCCTAACGGTGCCTGAGTCACTGCCAATGATAGGGCTTGGAGCGTTCTCCTTCTCTTCCTGTAGGCATTGCGAAAACCTCAGCGCTGCGGTGCAGCAAACCAGGTGCATGTCAAAGAACTTCCATCAGGACTGCAGTCAAGTAGCATGCCATGTGGCATTGATTGAACCGCACGTTGATCCACAACATCAGTGCCAGGGCCCTGTTACAAATACAAAGTCACGCAATGCACAGCTACAGCTGAAACCTTCCTTCCAGTCTGGTTTGGGGCTGGCCTCGTTGATGTGAATAAAGGTATTGCGAATTTGATACCCAGGCGTTGGCAAAGCCATTGCTGCCCCTTCCTGCCGGATCAAGTTCATTCAATTTCATTCCGCAGTCATGGTCCCAATGCACAGAGCCCAGTGCTCAAATTTCTGGGTACGTTCCCATGGTGCCAGTACTGGTGCCATTCTTAAACACGCTTGGATTATATAATTCTCTGAGTTTTTGATCATGGGGGGCCCCTGACCGGCAATTGCGCTGATGTTGCCAGTGGGGCACGTCTGAAGCAGGTGAGTCTTGCTTTTCTTCTGAAGAGGTTACACCTTTGAGTTCCCAGCACACATTTGTGGCTGGCGGGTGGCTCACACCACCTGTTTCTCTGACACACTTCAAATGTCAACGCAGCGACAAACCTGAGACTGAACCATACGAATCCCAATGTGCGGGGTCCATCCATTTGATCCATGATGATCTACGAAATGAAGAATCTAAGAATGATCTTGCCGATCCTGCCTCACATGTGCATACTAAGAATGGATTAAGAATAGGACCCGAAACTGCCGTCGAACCTTCAGACGCAAATTGCCCCGTCAGGCTTTCCTTCTTACCTGGGCCAACCGCACAGATTGCCGTCTGTTCATCCATGAAGTCTAAGAAGACAAGACCTTCCGCGTTGCTGGTTGCTTTGTGTTGCTTCATTTTGCTTCATCGTCGTGGAATCTTCGAATCTTGAGGTGAGACTGTTGCAACTGTCAGAGGCTGTCAGGGCTGTGACTATCAGATTCTTTCGTTTTGGCAACGCCCTGCTTGAAGAGGTGAAGCCTGCCTTGGGATCTCATGGCTTTGGAGTCACTTTGTCCAAGAATTACCAAAATTCACAAAAAAAACATCCACTTCAACTTTGCATTCGAACTGAGTTAGCTACGGCTACATCATGACACATCTAGTTGCAGGTCAGACAACGACAAAGAAAAGAAAACTTTGTGGCAAGCAGCGTTCTGGTCCAAAACCATAGCTTTCGCATTTGATTTCTGGGTACTCTTCGGCCAACTTCTTTGCCTGGAGCTCAGCAAGCTGGAACATCAAAATCGCAAGGTCCGCCGAGTCTGCCATGGTACCTTCTTGCGTTGTTCAGTATCCAAGGCCGGCAACTGCAATTCGGTCTCATTCCTCAGCTCAAATATCTACTCTAAAGATAGGGGTAACCCATCACTTGCGGCAGTAAGATTCAATCACTTGCGGCAGTAAGATAAAAATCACCTGCGGCAGTAAGAATCTTCAAAACCAATCACTTGCGGCAGTAAGAATCTTAAAAACCAATCACTTGCAGCAGAGAAACAATGCATTAAGGGGGCCTAGACGTAGGGGAGGATGCGAATAGTTTGCTAGCGACTTACCATCCCACTTCAACCTTGGGGGGTGGGGTGGGGCTAGGGAAGAAAAGGGTAGGATCTACAGCCACAACCGTTGCTTACCTTCATTATAGGGACGAAACCGCTACACCACTTCCTGCGACTTACCATCCCACTTCACCCTTGGGGGATGTGGGGTGGGGCTAGGGAAGAAAAGGGATCTACCAGCCACAACTGTTGCTTACCTTCAAACCAACTGGCATGTGTCAAACCAACTCCTATAGAAAAGAAGCTAGGCGTCTTGAGCCCTGTGGTCAGAGAGAAAACGCAAACTATCACGCGCAACTCAATCGGCATCCCCTGGGAGTGGGAATTTGGTACATGGATTGCATGTGGACATTGTGCACGCCCATCATCGAACGAAATATTTAAGGGCAACCCAGAGTAGAAAAACAAAAATATCAATGACCCATGTTCATGCAGCCACAAGTTTCACCACCTCTTACTTAAACCCCTACATAATGACAACGTTTCGCTTGAGGAATACAATACATATATATATATACTATATATGAGTAATTTCTAGCTGCTAAGAGAAAAGATTTCCTACACGTAACGTCAAGTTTGCGCGCGGGTGCAGCCAAGTTTTCTAGCATAACATCCAGCACGCGTCCCTCCACATGCAATCCCTCTTCACCGACATGTAGCACCGTACGAAATCAAACATTGCCCTGCTGCGCCAGCCACATTACAGCAACCGTCACCAGCAGCAACCACAAATCAGTTATAGCAGCGACGTCTCCATATAACATAACTAACACACGCAAGTCTAGCAACAATTTCTCCTAAGAAACCTCATGTCTGCGTAGCAGGGTCTGGCTTTTTTATGCACAAGCACACATGCATCATCCGAATCTGAGCCACAGTACGTGCAAGAGCAGCAGCACAGCCCACGGCAAAACAGAATTCATGTTTGCAACAACAGGCAAAGTCGCATTAAAGGCATCAAAGCTTGGCACGTGCACAATGTCGCTTCCTTCCTCATAGAACCTGCCCTGCGTCCGAGAATGCAGCAGTCGCAGCAGCTCACTGCCACAAGCGATTGGTTTTATATACCCTGGCATCAAGGACACCCACTTACCGCCACAAGCGATAGATTTTTTACCGCCACAAGCGATTAAAAACAGAAACACGTGTTTACCGCCACAAGCAATTAGGCCTTGAGATGCTGCACCTGCCACGCAAAAACAACAATCACCTGCGGCAGTAAAAAATCAAAGTTTTTACTGCCACAAGCCATTGGCACGTCTTACCGCCACAAGGGAGGTAGGAGCCAAAGATAAATGAGCATGTGTGTACGCTCCGTGATTGGTAGAAGGAGGCGGTGGCTTTCAAAAAGGGCGCGGAATTAAGTTGTTTTTTTGTTTTTTTTTGCATTTTTTTTTGTTCGGGGTTGGGTTCCTTGCTTTTTCATTGTTTTTTCCAGCAGTTTTCATCAATTTTCCAATTGTTTTCGCTAGTTTTCCAGCATTTTTCCTCCATGTTCCATAGTTCTCTATGATTTTCTAACGCATTCCATCAGTTTTCCATAGTTTTCAAAAAATTCTAGCGTTTCCCTCAGTTTTTCGATGGTTTTTCTTGTTTTTCTTCGCTTTTGCATTGTTTTTTCTATGTTTTTCATCCCCCTTGATTGATGGGTAGGAACCCGTGCCCCACCATTCCATAAAAACCTGGTTTATGTAATGGTTGGGTACAGGTATATTTGTATAGAATGGATCCTTTTTTGTGCTTATATATTATGGAATACCACCATTGTACTACCTAGCAGGCCGGATATGCAAAGAAATGCTTCGCCAGTATGTTATGGAAATGGCAAAAAAATGAACTCTTGAAACCAAGAAAATTTGACTTGTATATTATGGAATTGGTTGTTTTTTTGAGGGGGTCATTTTAAGGTATCTTAAGATATTTTAAGATAAAAGTATTGTTTATGTTCGGACACGTTAACATACCAGAACGATCCATTTTATAAACAACATAGGTGTTTGTGAAATTCCCCTTGTATGAAATGGAACGTCTTCCATATATGTTTACCCCACATTTCGGTGTATAAAATGGATAATCTTCTATTGTTTCTGTATTTCGTGTTTCAAATACTGGACTTTTCATGATTATTCCATTTTATACACCGAAATGTGGGGTAAATCTGGACAGATTTACCCCACATTTCGGTGTATAAAATGGATAATCTTCTATTGTTTCTGCATTTCGTGTTTCAAAACACTGGACTTTTCATGATTATTCCATTTTATACACCGAAATGTGGGGTAAATCTGGACAGATTTATCCCACATTTCGGTGTATAAAATGGATAATCTTCTATTGTTTCTGTATTTCGTGTTTCAAACACTGGACTTTTCATGATTATTCCATTTTATACACCGAAATGTGGGGTAAATCTGGACAGATTTACCCCACATTTCGGTGTATAAAATGGATAATCTTCTATTGTTTCTGTATTTCGTGTTTCAAACACTGGACTTTTCATGATTATTCCATTTTATACACCGAAATGTGGGGATTTACCCCACATTTCGGTGTATAAAATGGATAATCTTCTATTGTTTCTGTATTTCGTGTTTCAAACACTGGACTTTTCATGATTATTCCATTTTATACACCGAAATGTGGGGTAAATCTGGACAGATTTACCCCACATTTCGGTGTATAAAATGGATAATCTTCTATTGTTTCTGTATTTCGTGTTTCAAACACGGGACTTTTCATGATTATTCCATTTTATACACCGAAATGTGGGGTAAATCTGACAGGTTTACCCCACATTTCGGTGTATAAAATTGATAATCTTCTATTGTTTCTGTATTTCGTGTATCAAACACTGGACTTTTCATGATTATTCCATTTTATACACCGAAATGTGGGGTAAATCTGGACAGATTTACCCCACATTTCGGTGTATAAAATGGATAATCTTCTATTGTTTCTGTATTTCGTGTTTCAAACACTGGACTTTTCATGATTATTCCATTTTATACACTGAAATGTGGGGTAAATCTGGACAGATTTACCCCACATTTCGGTGTATAAAATGGATAATCTTCTATTGTTTCTGTATTTCGTGTTTCAAACACTGGACTTTTCATGATTATTCCATTTTATACACCGAAATGTGGGGTAAATCTGGACAGATTTATCCCACATTTCGGTGTATAAAATGGATAATCTTCTATTGTTTCTGAATTTCGTGTTTCAAACACTGGACTTTTCATGATTATTCCATTTTATACACCGAAATGTGGGGTAAATCTGGACAGATTTACCCCACATTTCGGTGTATAAAATGGATAATCTTCTATTGTTTCTGTATTTCGTGTTTCAAACACGGGACTTTTCATGATTATTCCATTTTATACACCGAAATGTGGGGTAAATCTGACAGGTTTACCCCACATTTCGGTGTATAAAATTGATAATCTTCTATTGTTTCTGTATTTCGTGTATCAAACACTGGACTTTTCATTATACACCGAAATGTGGGGTAAATCTGGACAGATTTACCCCACATTTCGGTGTATAAAATGGATAATCTTCTATTGTTTCTGTATTTCGTGTTTCAAACATTGGACTTTTCATGATTATTCCATTTTATACACTTCTTATGGCTCGAGGACTTCGACCCGGCAGGGACGGGGCAACACGATGGGATTCACACCGGGACAAAACAACGGGGTAACACAACGGGTAACCAAACAGGGGGAAACAACGAGAAAATGAGAAATGTCACGTTTATACTTGGTTATATGTTGTTTTATGGGTTATGTGGGTTATTTGTGGTTATTATCCACAATCTTATATATTGGGCTCAGGCTGCCTTTTTGCTTTACAGCCGTGCACGTAGGTTTTGCAACCATGACTATTTGTCATGGCTCCTGTACGCTAAGATGCCTTCTTGGCATTATCACATTTTGACTCATGGCAGAGTCGAAACATAAAGGACTCATGGCAGAGTCAAACCAAGGTACATTTTTGCTTCGACCCATGGCAGGATCGCGATCCTCGCAAGGATCTTCAATTGTCCATGGCAGGACAGGACCTTTCAGATCCGTTTTCTTCGCTTCTTTCGCCCCTGGGTGGGGGGGTAGGGAGCCCAAAAGCTACCCCAACATCTGTAAATCAACATGCAAGCTTCTCCCAAACAGTCGAGACGACTACTTTGGGCTCAGGCTGCCTTTTTGCTTTACAGCCGTGCACGTAGGTTTTGCAACCATGACTATTTGTCATGGCTCCTGTACGCTAAGATGCCTTCTTGGCATTATCACATTTTGACTCATGGCAGAGTCGAAACATAAAGGACTCATGGCAGAGTCAAACCAAGGTACATTTTTGTTTCGACCCATGGCAGGATCGCGATCCTCGCAAGGATCTTCAATTGTCCATGGCAGGACAGGACCTTTCAGATCCGTTTTCTTCGCTTCTTTCCACGGCTCCCACCAGCGAAAGCCTGGTGCTCGTTGATGAAAGTCGACGAATACTTTGATTCCAAAGTCATGGACAAGGATGGGAGGAGCGCCAGGCCATCGCAGATGTAAATTCTAGCGATATTACTGTTGCGCCAGCGCCCTCTAATGAGCGTTCGCTCCATAAGTCCATGACTCTGCATCTCATAAGTTGCTCCACCCCGTCGAAGGGAATAAGGTCTAAAACCTAATTGCTGAAGCTTGAGCGCCTCCACCGCTCTTCGAAAAAGGCCCCTGAAGCACGAACCACTATGCTCCCAGCATGGCAAATTGTGGAGCCCTAATTGATGCTTCAGCTCCAACATTGCTCGCACAGTCTCGATTGTGCAAGGATCATGTAAGCTAACACTTTCCCGGGTATTATTGCGTACCCCACTTTTGCTTGATGGGAGGGAGAGAAGCCCTCGATTGTCATCGAGAATGAAGTCACAAGGCCTGATTTGTAAAAGCTCCCCCGTCCGGAGAAGTGCATGAAATCCCAAAAGGATGAGCGCCGACATCGTCAGCTCATCTACAGAAAGGCACCAGCCTGCCAGCGCTAGGACTATATCCTGGGTCAGCGGCGGCGCCCGGCAGGGGATTTCAAACTTCCTCCATATTCCATAAAGTCTCCAGCTCTTCGGTAGCTTCTTCCTAGTAAAAGGTTCAAAATGATGGAGGCCTGAAAGCGCGTCCCCAACCATGTAAAGAGGAGTCCCGTCCTCAAATTCATTTTGAATCCAGAGAGCAATGGACTCATCCAGCTCCCCCTCTGTAGAGACGTCTGCTATCTCAGGGGCCAGCCTGGCTACCGCAGTATAATAGCGTTCAAGCGTGGCCTTTGTGATCCCGACGTCCTCAAGGACAATGTTCTGTCGGGCCTGCTTCCTCTGAGCTTGCGTGGCCTGTCCCGGCCAAAAGTTATGCGCGGCTGGCATCGTCAGTAGGATTGTCAAGGGACTCCACGTGGGATACCACCAGGTACAAATCCCAGGCCAGCAAGGCCACTGCCAGCCGGCACAGCAAAGGCTTCAGCATCCGCGAAGACGAACGCCCCTTGCTAATGATGCTCATTGCCACATAGGAGTCAGTGAGATGGAAGGCCCTGATTTGACATTCTTTAAGATGATTGATACGCCACTCTAGGCTGTGAATAATTGAACGAAGTTCCAAACTGTTAATATGGTCAGCTTTACTCCAACGACATGCAAAAACTTTTGACCAAACCCACCATGCAGAACAGGAACTTTGCCGGGGATAGGCTTTGGGGTTCAAGATCATGCCCGTGGTTATTCTGACGTCTGAGCCTGTATGGTTCACGCGCCGCAAAAGTGACGCATGCATGGCAGTAACCCCCAAACTTTTGTTACAAACCCCATAGGACAACCGTCTCACGAGGGGGGCTTTCGTTTCAAGTGGAGGACAGAACCCCGGTGCCAGCCCCATTCGTTCCCAAAGAAGCTGATAGTGGGGTATCTGAATCCAACGTTTGCACAACATTGCAGCGACAAAAGCAAAGGTGAAACAGTTGAAACCATCCCCAACCAAACTTTTTCTTTTGTCCTCAAATCCCCGTGGGTTTTGTTTTACATCAGTAGCAGCCCAACATAAAGCTGTATGCTCATATCCCAAACCATGTAGAAGCTCCCTTTCACTGGCAGAAGCAAGTCTCCACCGATCCCCTTTCCAAAATACAAAACGGGAAGAATATTGGTACGGGGGGAACCTGAACTCGTCTGCGGCCCATCTTTGTTTTCCATCCCAGTCCACACGGTCGATTCCGGCCGGCTTGATAGGAGGCGAAGACCGACGGATTGCCTTCATGCAAGTGGGCAGAATAGCCCCCTCATCGAATCCTGGCCACGACCAACCTTCCTCAATCCATTGCTCCGTCGCGGGATACTCATGCGAAAACTTGATCTCCCACCAACGCTCCTTCTCAACAAAGTCCACGCTCCCCATTTCCGTCAGCTCCGTGTTGGACCAACAGAGGCGAGGCCGATGTACTGGAACCACATCTGCCGAGTCGAAGCGCCAGGGCTTGATGCCCAGCGTCGCTGAAATTTCTTGCTCAGCTGCAACATCCATGCTTGCCACGTTCTCTGCCGCGAACTTGACTGGAAAAGAGAACCCGTAGCCCTGCCTGACCTGTCTAATGATTCTCACCAGCTCCCAGAACAGCCCCGACTGCGGGTCATCTAAATTGAGCCTCCCAAACCACACCGCACTGAGGCCCACACAAGGGAAACCGGCCCAAATATGGATTTCCTCAACCTCAGGGTAGAGGTATTTCCATTCCTTGATCTGCTCAGGCCCCAGGGTGCGAACATCAGTCTCGATCTTCACATTCGGCCATCTCCTGCTTGTCACCCTGTTTGCTGCTTTGCACAACTCGTATGAAATGCAGACAGCCGGGAGGATGCCGCACAAATCATAGCACCGAAATGCACAGCCAATCCCATTAAAAAGGGACAAGACCAAGATAGGAGCACGAGTACCCTCAGCTCTACCTGCCAGGTCTGCCCCCACAAATTCCTGACCGGCTTGGGTGAGTCTTTCGCTCTTCCCCACAGCGCCCCCTGTGCTGGACGCATCACTTGCCGTGGTAGTGGAGCTGATCTCCGACCGGAGATTCGTATGCATGAGAAGGCAGCCACAGATGCAGTTGAAGAACTCCGACCGCACCCGGTACTCCGCCGCCGACCCCTTAGCTTTTCCAGAGATAAAGCTCCACACCACATCCAACCAGACCATAGCCGGTCGTCGAAAGCTCATGCAATGGACCCATCGCCCAGCACAAACCTGCACCCATTTTCGACACAACTTTTGCCTTCCAATCACCACCAGTGTTGTCTGAATAAGCCTCAACAAACGGTCCGGTGACGGACCAATAGTACCCTCATCGCCCTGCAGCATCGCCCCCAGTTCGTGAGCAACCGGCTCACCTGATACCTTCTTCTTCGAGGAGGAGAGCACCCCTGCCGTTCTCCAGGCGGCCTCGAGTGCAGAATGAATCCGCACCCCATCATCAGGGCTATCCCCCTCCGTCACCTTCTCCATGGCGCAAAAATTGTCCAGGTACACATGATACCAAGGTCGGCCCGCACTTGCAGCGACCTCGCATGTGTCAACCACGGGGGAAGGGGTGCGGTACGCCGCACCCTATGTGTCGGAGGGAGCCGCCCTATCTTTGTCAGGTTCTCCGCAATCTCTTGCATCAGCGAGACCGCCGACGACCATCCCATGGGGATCACACTGCAGCACGGTCTAAACAGATCCGAGCTACCAAATCCCAACTGTTCCCCAGTAAAACTGATATTGAAGGTCATCATGGGGTGCCAACACACCGGGATTCTGAATAAATAGAAAGCAGAGGTCATATCACTTTGGAAATAAAACATCCGTTCATCAGACTGAAGAACCATTGAAAGATATTGAGTGATTGAAGGCAAGTCCGATGTTCCACCTTGAGCATGTTTGAAAACTGCGTTGGAAGGTATTAAATTCATGATAATACGTTGAATCTCTCGACCATTGTCGAGAAACGAACCCTTACCAACTGCGAACATACCAGAAAGGACTTGCTGATTTCCAACCCGTAAAACCGCCTCATCCCGTATCCAAGAACAGATTTTTCGTTCAACTAACAGCCGGAAAAGTTGAAGGGCTTCAGAGGGATCAACATGAACTTTTGCTTGAAGCTTGACATCCTTTGGGGGTTCACTCAGCAGACTGGCTTCAGCGTTTTCCAAAAACCACTTGGTACCTTCTCCCACCAAATTTCGGGCATCAATCGAACCCCCATGAGTTTCGGGGGGAAGGGCCGGTAAGGCCTGTTCCAACCTGAGCACCTGCATTTTCGGGACCTCCTCCCCTGTATAGCTCAAGAACCTCTCACTGAGCTCCTTTTCTGCCTCACCCGGCGAGCGCATCAGCTCCACAGGGCGCCCTAGCATCCTCTTGACGCCAGCGCGCATAGCAGCCAGGGCCCTTTTCTGCACCTTGCTTGGTGCCTTCTGCAATATTGCACGGCCATGGCCAGCAACAGCATTCAATGCCATCACCGATAATGCGGTCCAGACCCGCACCTCATCGACACCCGCAAAATGCGGCTGCATGAATTCATCCACTGTAGAATTTAGTGCAAGCTCCTTAAGGGCAGCACCGTCATCCAGGGGCAATGGAAAATGAGGCCTGGCTCTGTTGAACACACGGCGTAAGGTCCAATGCACTTTCCCATCGCTGCCTGTCTTAGGCCGCTAGAGACCTCCTCCTCCATCTCAAGCTGGGGGAAGCAGAATAAAAACCATAAGAGGGCACGGCCTATGCGGTCCCAAGTTCCGCACTGGCCAGCCAACTCCTTAAAAACATGCACCGCTCCCCCCGCAGCCTCTGTAGGAAGGCCAGAAGTGTTCAGCCACCTTTTCAGTCCCGCAGCACCTGAATTCTGTTGAAACTTTCCTGACTGGACGTAGCCTGGAGCCTTCACTTTTTCCCCGGCTCGTCCTGCGTCTCCTTCCAAGGGTTCGCATCCCCTTTCTTCGGCCAGGGTGCGTCTTTGCCCGCACCCTTTGTTTTCCCTTTGCCACGGCCCTTGTTGTCCCCCTTCTTGCCCTTTTCTGTCCACTGACCTGCTCCTCGGCCTTTTCCTCCTGGCGGCACCCCCCACCTGCCCGGCGGGATGCCTTGACTCTTCTGCAGCAAGCGCTTGTGTTTTTGCGCCTGCAACATGGTCCCCACGCTCGCTGACTGAACCGGCTCCAGCGGATACAGCTCGAGCTGCGCCGCCGTGGCCCAGCCGCCTTCGGCCAAAGCCGTATGGACGGCAATGAACCTGCTTGCGAGCGCGTCCGCCGTCTCCGGGAGGCGGCCGCTCCGAAGCAGATCTATAGTCTGCCCCAGAGCGTAAAGCTCTCGCATCAGCGGGCTGTTGTTGGGGTAAAAGGGCCGGATCAGCAATGCAAAGAAGGTGCTGATCTTTATCCCTGACGTGATCCCTGGCTGACTTCCTTCGCTTTCCAGGAGAGATCCACGATCTAGCTGATCTTGCGCGTTCTTGACCAGCATGTCCATGACGCTGCCGGGCTCCCTCAAGGCCTTGCGGCGGAGGGGAGCCTCGCAGGACAGCTCCGAATCCTCGTCGCTCTCGGCCCCTCTTTTTCTCCTCTTGCTTGAGCCCGAGCTGCTGTCGTAGTCGCTTGACTCCGAAGAACCGGGATCGCCAGGGTCGGGCTTGAAGTGCACCCGCCTCTCGTATCCCTGATCCTCCCCGTCCTTCCTGTGCCGCTCTCGGCTTTTCCGCTTCTTCTTTTTCTTCTTCTTCTTGTCCGATGTCAGCAGCTCGGCCAGCTTCGCAACTGCGTCCTTGGACTTCTTCTTTTTCTTTTTCTCCTTGGACAGCTGAGCTTCCCTCTCGGAGGCCTGCACGGCTTGAGCCAGCAACCTCGCTGTATTGTCTGAAGGGTCCTCCAAGCGCTTCTTCAGCTTCCTCGCCTCGCCGCCGCTTATATCCTCCAATGGGGCGAGGGCCACACTGGTGGATTTCCCAGGTCTCAGGGCAGTGCCAGCTGTCAAGCGACTCTCTACCGGAGCAGAGCGAGAGGGCCCTGCAACGCCCCCACCACTCAAAACCTCTGCGGGGGCTTTCCGTCTTCCACCCGAACCGGCAATGCGTTCCCTCGTAGCTTTGAGAAGAGACCTGAGTCCTTCCCGGTTCACCGGTTCGTCTTCGACACCCTCTGCTTCGTCTTCGCCATCTGAAGGAACTGCAATGACTGGACTGCCTATCAGTGAAGCTTTCTTTGCTCCTCTCTTGGCGTCTGGCTTTGGGGTAGCTCGGCGAGCCGTAGTAGCAGGCTTCTTTTGACCAGGGGGCTCGGCCGCTACCTCTGGCGGCATGCGGGCCAAGGCCAGCATAGCCCTTCCCCCGGGGGTCAAATACCCTGCTGTGAAGTTTGCCACCGTCCAGCACCGCACATGGGTGCAATGGATCAAATCGGGTTCTTCCGTGAGGTGGCATGGGTCTTCGACGCATAAGTGAAGACTCCCTGTGTCCAGGATGGCAAGGACTTCGTTGTAGATACTTTTGTTCTCGGACCCCAAAAGGTCTCCTCCTACCAGAAGCCCGCCACCCGTGGCTACAGTGCAACGATCCACCAGCACCGCAAACCAATCTTCTGTGCCAAAGCCCACTGAACACCCCGTCAAGCAAACCTCCAGCACCGAACCCGCCGGCGCACGGATGGCTGCCCACTGGGGGTCGGAAGACCGATAGTCGGCTCCCTCGTCGACACCGAGGTCCACTACAGCCCCAGTGTCTGTCTTTTTCTTTTTTGGCGCCATGGCTCCGACTAAAAGGCGGTCGGAGGCCTGTCCCAAAAGTCGTCTGGCTGTTTGTAATGGAAGCGACGGTAGGGATCCTGTTGAGCCTTCCACAATTTCTGATGTTTAGCTCCTCCACGGTGTCCCTTCCGATGTCGCCTCTTCTTGGTTCCTTCTGCTCCACGGCCGTCTTCACCGTGATGAGCCCGTCGCCTGCTTCGACTCCTCGCCCGCCTGTCTCGACCTCTGGGCCGATCAGGGGCTTCCTCACCTCTAGGACTCTTGGGAGCCCTTTCACTTCTTCGATCCCGTGACCTCCTTCGGTCAACCTCCTCTGTGGGGCGTCTCCTAGGTATTTCCGAGCGCTCGCTCCTGGCAGCTGAGGCTTTTGGCGCTGGCTTCAACCCAGCGTCCGCGGCTTCCGCCGGCTCCTCGCCTTCTGAAGCGTCAGTGTACTCGTACTCTGATTCTTCCTCAGCACGCTCCTCCTTGACCTCAGCTGGCTTTGCTTCCCCTGGTGGGGGGTGCTCCGGCCGCTCTGCAGCAGGTGTCGGGTCCCTGGGGGGCACCGCCGGGGTTGCAGGAGGGGTGGATCTATCACCAGGCGGCAGCGGACCTGCCGGCACGCTCTGGTGTGCGCACGCGGTCACGCCCGGCGCCAGAGATCCCCAACCTCCGTACGGCACGCACCTGTCTCACCGCAGTGGACAAGATGTCGTGTGCCAGCAACCTTGTTCCCTGGGCCCCCCAGGCACAACGCAGCTCTCCGTTGAGAGCTTCGACAGCTGCGCAGCCTAAGCACCACGAATCCCCTAAGTGTAGTTCGGTTTGACCACGCATCAAAACCTTTGAGCCCAAAAGCTACCCCAACATCTGTAAATCAACATGCAAGCTTCTCCCAAACAGTCGAGACGACTACTTTTGTGAAACCAAGACGGCACCACTGTATTACAAGAGGGATTCACCACATCAGCAAACACAGGCCTGCTGAAACAATTTCTTGCAGAGTTCAGGCTCTACTTGCCGGCGACCAGTGCTGTTCATCAAGGCCCCAATGGCACATGGACGGACTTCACCGGTGACCGAGCACATTGCATCGATCATGTTGCGGTTCCACAAGCATGGCAACACAGGTGCACATGGTCGAGCATCTTACATGATTTTGATCTGGCCACGATCCATGAGGACCAACAGGTTGCAGCAGTTCAACTCCAATGGACAGCCTCTGTACGACACGGATGCGAACCGCACCATGGTAGACCTCAACATAAAGCCAGCACATATCATCATGTACCAGGCCTTTCTGACCAAATTGCCCAACTCCAAGCTCTTCCGTGGAATGCCGATGTTGAGCAGCAAGCACAGCACATTACGCAACAGTTGCATGAGGTCATTCAACAGACACAACCACAGCATGAAACCAAGATCAAGAAGACCTACATCACTGAGCGTCTCTGGAACCTGAGGAAGGACAAGTGCTCCCTCAAGAAGAACCTCAAGCAGATCAAACAAAGAAGCAAACGAGATCTTCTTTACACGATCTTCCAGGCATGGACAGGGACACCCTGTCAAGACCAACAACAAGAGCACTTCAACTACGAATGTATGCTGCGCTGCAAAATGATCTCCAAGACAGCGAGACTATTTGTGCTCTCCAATCAGCTCAAGCATGAGATCATCTGCAGCAAGAAACAGGCGCTGCAGCGCAAGCTTGAGGAGTTCTCAGTTACCACACCAGCATCAGAAGTTCTCAGAGAGCTGAAAAACTTCATCGGGCCGACAAATCCCAAAAAGCACAAGAAGAAGATGCTGCCTATGGTGCGAGACGAACAAGGTGAATTCTGTCAGCTACCAGGAGAAGCTGTTGCAGTGTGGATCAGATTCTTCCAAGAAATGGAAGGGGGAGAGAGAATGTCTTTTCAACAGCTCCGCAACCAATGGATTGATGACTTGCAAAGCTTTCAACGACAAGAGCTCCAGTTCGACGTGCATTTACTGCCTGACTTGACCGACCTGGAGTTGGCGATGAGGCGTGTGCCTTGTGGCAAAGCCCGTGGACCTGATGGTTTGCCGGGGGAACTTCTACGTCATCAACCAACTGGAGTTGCGAGGCTTCTATACCCACAACTTATCAAAATGATCCTCCACGGCCAAGAGCATTTAGGCTACAAGGGAGGCATGCTCCAACCAGCATACAAGGGCCGCGGCCCCATGGACAGCTGCCACTCTTACCGTTCATTGCTCATTTCAAGCCATTTGGGCAAAGTATTGCATCGAACAATCAGAACGAAGCAATCAATGCTGTACGAAAAGTTCATGCAACATGAACAAACAGGAGGCAGAACCAAAGTGCCGGTCCAGCTTGCGATGCATCAGCTGAGGGCATTCGCAAGACAGGCCAAACAGAAAAACCTCTCAGCAGGTATTGTATATTTAGACCTGACGGAGGCTTTTTATACAGTTATGCGAGAGGCTACACTGGGTGGTGAGCCGACCGACGCAGTCATTGCGCACGTCCTGCGGCGTCTCAACATGCCGCCGAATGCCATGCACGACATCTACCACCTCTTGGAAGAGCCACCCGCTGTACAGCAAGCAGGATTTCATGAAGTTGATCAACAGTGTTGGCAGGCTGTGCACACTGGAACATACTTCTGGATAGCTGAACAAGGTGACGTCTCACGTACCCGCATGGGGACGAGCATCGCCGACGTGGTGTTTGGCTACGCATGGAGTTGTGTGCTGAAGAAACTCCAGCAGAGCATGGCCGATCAGCAGATGCTCACATGCTTCGAAGCACAACACCACCTGCCCCTCTTCGGGAACTACGAAGCCACAGGGACAAGTTCCACGTTCATGGGGCCAACGTGGATGGACGATACAGCAGTCTGTATTCAAGCAGAAGATCCTCAGCAACTGGTTCACAATGTGAGCTATGTGGCAGGCACACTTTTAGACCTGTGCACTCACCATTGCCTCAAGCCCAATTTGGCGAAGGGCGAGACCGAAGTCCAACTGATGCTGAGAGGACCTGGCTCACGACAGACGAGACTTCGTCATTTCGGACCAGGATCTACAGGCATGCTGCCAGTTGTATGCGAAGGAGGAGTGAATCAAATCCAACTTGTGCAATGTTATGGCCACCTTGGCGGTGCCATGCACCATACGGCAGACCAGGCGCGTGAGATCAGTCAGCGTGCAGCGATTGCCCATGCTGCCATGAACCAGCACCGCTGTCTGGTGTACCAAAATGCGGCCCTGGCCATTGACAAGCGCAAGGAACTCTTTGACATGCTGGTGATGAGCAAGTTTTTATACGGATCGGACTCATGGGTGGCGATGGACAAACGCACTATGAAGCGATTCAGTGCAAAGATCTTCAATCTCTATCGAAGACTTCTCAAAGTTCCTCATGATCAACCCCTATCGGCAGAAGAGCTACTGATGCGCACTGCAATGCTTAGTCCAGAAGAACTATTACATCGCAGCCGCCTCAGGTACTTTGCGACGCTGGTCAACATGGACATGCCACACATATGGGCTCTTTTTGCACAAGATCAACAGTGGACTGGTCTTTTGGAGGCTGACATGATTTGGATGTGGGAACAGTTGCGCACTACGACGCGACTGCCAGACCCACGCACAGCGTATGGGTATTGGCTCAACCTCATTCAGCGCAGCCCCAAGTACTGGAAAAGACTGGTAAGACGTGCCAGTGATCATTGTGTCATGCAAAGATGTCGAGTTTTCCGTGCAAGAGATTTTCATCGACGCGCTTTGGACCGCATCTGGAGCATTCTGCCGTCGACCGCATACAGACCATATAGGCTTCAAACTGCGAGGCATGAACCTTTTGGTTGTATTGGTTGTGGGAAAAGATGCAAGAGCAAGGCAGGTGAAGCGGCGCACATGTACAAGGTACACGGCATTGCCTCTCATCTGCGACACCTTGCAGATCACCCCAATTGTGCCGGATGTCTACGACATTTTCACACGATGCAGAAGCTGCATGCGCACCTCTACTACAGTCGAAAATGCAGAGAGCTGTTGCAGGCTCGTGGCCTAAAATGTGCGCAAGTGCCAGGCACAGGGTCGGCTGAAGACCAGGAAAGAGTTGAGAAGCATGATCGGCAACTTCCACCTCTACGTGGCCACGGACCACTACAGGCACCTGTGCCTCATCGAGTGGTTCTGGACTATGACGAGGGCGTCTTTGACTTCATCGTGGAGGAGCTGATTCAGAACTATGACATGGAGCAACTGAATGAGCGCATCAGGCAGCATGTGCAAACGCTGGCCATCACGTGGACAACATTTTGCATCACCATTCAACACTTCATGGACACCTTCACTGATGAAGATGCCAAGACATTCAACATCGACATGAAGGAACTTGTGCATGTCATGCAGAAGATCTGTGATCCTTCTACCTGGCCTTTCCTGAATGAGGACTTGCCGTGCGAGGAGAGCCTTCCCAGCTTGTCACATCTTGAAGAAGAATGTGCACTTGCGCGTGAGCAGATCGACACAGATGGTATTGCACCAGTACCGCGGCTGATTGGAAAACACCGAATTGTCCTCCATGCGTATGCAGGTCGCAGGAGGGTAGGAGACATACAATACTACATGGAGATCCTTGCCCAGAAGCAGCCAGATTTCACGCTACATGTCATTTCACTGGATGTGGTGATAAATCGTGAATGGGGAGACGTCTCCAATCAAGCCACATGTGCTTATTGGATCGATGCCATACGGCGCCAATGGGTGACAGCATTCATTGGTGGCCCCCCATGCGAAACGTGGTCGAGAGCCAGAGGCAAGGAGGTCAAGTACGTGGATAGCGCTGGCAATGAAGTTTTCAAGGCTGGGCCTCGAGTCATCAGATCACGAGAGCAACCTTGGGGATTTGACTGTGCCACGCTACGAGAATTGCGTCAACTATGTGTGGGGAATGACCTGCTTTTCTTTGCCATCATTGCCATTTTGGAATTGGCGGCTACGAATGGGTATGGACTTCTTGAACATCCAGCAGAACCAGAAGATGATGACACAGCTGCTTCAATATGGCGATTGGAGGTGATGCAAGCGCTGCTGGCAATGGACCATGTGCAGCTTGTGAGAGTAGCACAGGGTTTGTTAGGTTCGCGCAGCCCGAAACCCACACATCTCTTGGCGCTCAACCTGCCGAGCTTAATTCACCATCTCCATCAGGGCCGTGTCCGGAAGGACTTGCCAAAGGCTACGGCCATAGGTCGTGACAGCCATGGAGCTTGGATGACTGCTCCGTTGAAGGAGTATGCACCTGCATTTTGCAGATGTATAGCAAATTCACTGATGGAGTCTTTTTCTACTGATGCAGTAGACTCCTCAGTGGCTGATCCGCCTGAGGCCTTTCTCATGCGCTGCCGTGAGCTGGAGGCTACGGATTACAGCGAGGCGCTGGGAATGGACTTTGCAGGCTAAGGGATCCCCCATGAATTCATAGCATAGGCCGCAGCTTAACGCTTCCATGTGCCTTGAAGGAAAAAATATATATATATGTGTGTGTGTGTGTGTTTTTTCTATGTTTTATCCACAATCACTTTTCAAACAGTCAGTGGTTCGTTTTCAAGACATCGATCGCTGAAAGAAACTTCCATTTGATTAACAGATCTCCAAGTTTCCGCAAGTGTTCAAACTGGAACCTTCCAAAAAATAGCAAACAACATTTATAATTATTATGGAAATGCCGATTTTGGGGCTAATGATTCCAAAGAAAAATGCAGCTGTATGTAATGGAATTACCATCGTTTTGTATGAAATGGAGGGGTGCAACATGGCACCAAAATTTAAGGGTTTTTTGCCCCGTTTTCCAAGATGGGCCGTGTATGAAATGATGTTGGTTTTTCCATTTCATACGGGGCATGGGTTCTTCCATTCCATACAGGTACAGTCAAGGGGGCTTGTTTTTCTATATTTGTCGTTGTTTTTCTAGCGTTGTTCATCCGCGGGAGGAGGGCTCGTTTCAATAACTGTTGAGTATATGGGTTTTGTCACTTTGCTTTTGTTGTTCTTCTTGTTGTTCTTGTTGTTCTTGTTGTTGTTGTTCTTGTTATTGTTCTTGTTGTTGTTGTTGTTGTTGTTGTTCTTGTTCTTGTTCTTGTTCTTGTTCTTGTTGTTGTTGTTGTTGTTGTTGTGGTTGTTGTTGTTGTTGCTGTTGTTGCTGTTGTTGTTCTGTATCTATCGCAGTTATTCCTCTGTCTATCGATCTATCTATCTTTTAATAATTGTTGCGGTTGTGGCGGTTGTGGTGCTGGTTGTGGTTGTGGCTGTGGTTGTGGTTGTGGTTGTTGTGGTTGTGGTTGTCGTCGTCGTCGACTTCCCAGCAAGGGGAGGGTCGGATTTTTTTAAAAAGCGGGTGGGGGGCGGGGGGAGGGCGCAGCGCCTCCCCCCGCAATGCGTGCTGTGCGACTTGCACCCCGGCGTTGTTTTCTCCCCATTGTTTGGATCGATTTTGATGGTGTTATTTGTTACTGTTGCTGTTTGCTGTTGCTGCTTTTGTTGTTGTTGTTGCCATTGTTTTGAAGAAGGTTGCAGTTTCTCTCCGATAAGCATGCATATAAACTCAAAGGTACACAGGGAAACTTCTGACTGCCATGCAACCATTGTGAAACACAATTCAAGCAAATATAGTTGGAGAACAACAGTCCAACAAGTGTCTTGAAATAGGGTCTCTTTCATTTAGGGTTTCTTTAGGGTGTCATTTGGCATTTCTTTAGGGTTTCATTTTAATTTCGTTAGGGCTCGTTTGGGGTGTCATTTAGGGTTTCTTTAGGTTTTCACACGCATCAACTCACATAGATATAGTACGAGACCAGATTCAACAAGTGTCCTGAGATACTTTTCTCAGACATAAAAAAAGAGCTCGTTAGAACACTTGATGTTGAAAAAGGTTGCAGTTTCTCTCCGATAAGCATGCATATAAACTCAAAGGTACACAGGGAAACTTCTGACTGCCATGCAACCATTGTGAAACACAATTCAAGCAAATACAGCTGGAGAACACCAGTTCAACAAGTGTCTTGAAATAGGGTCTTGAGTCTTAAGAACTTTAGGAACAGCAAGTAGTTGGGACACTTGTTGAAAACAGGTCTCAATTCCTCTCACAACAGCATGCATATAAGCTCATATTACGACTGTAGTTTCTGTGCAGTTTACATGCAATTTATATCAATTTATATGCAGTGTATTCTACGAAATTATCAAATGTTATATGCAAACTACAATACTACACATACATTCAACAGAAGCGCGGCCTTTCAAAAGCCAAAAGCCAAGTGAAACCAAAGCAAAAAAAAAACAAAAACCAAAAACCAAAAGCCAAGAGTCAAGTGAAGCCAAAGCCAAAAGCCAAAAGCCAAATGGGCATGCAAATTGGCTCCAAACTGCAGCAAATAGTACGCAAATCAGAGATTTTGGCTCCAAAATGCGGCAAATACAAACAAGAAGCCAGAAACCGAAGGAGCCAGAAGCCAAAAGCCAAAAGCCAAATGGGCATGCAAATTGGCTCCAAACTGCAGCAAAAAGCACGCAAATCAGAGATTTTGGCTCCAAAATGCAGCAAATACAAGCCAGAAGCCAGAAACCGAAGGAGCCAGAAGCCAAAAGCCAAAAGCCAGAAGCCAAAAGCCAAAAGCCAGAAGCCAGAAGCCAAAAAAAAAATGACCAAAAAAAATGCCAAAAAAAAAATGCAAAAAAAAACTACCCCTCCTTTCAAAAATGGCGATTGCAACTTGCAGCTAGGCGGCGTATCGGCAAGAAAGGCTGACAAAGCCTGAATCAAGTCCATTGGAGTGCCAATACTCCTCTTTTTGATTTTGTAAACATGTCCAAGCCCTGGTCATGTCTGGCCAAGACACTGCTTCCACATCGAAGTCTACTTCGCTCGAGCGAATCTCCTGGCAAAGAAAACTCAACCACCCGTGCCTGACTGCTAATTCTTTACAGCAGCTTCAGTGAAAAACGCTGGGTTAAATGGTTGAGGAGGTCTCCGTATAGAATGTATAGATTACCGTGATTAAGTGCGACAAAGTGTGACAGCTGCCCAACTTGCACCTGAGACATCGTAGCAGCGATGCAGTTGAGCAGCGAAAGCTCTGGTGACCTGCACTGGGCGCAAACGCCGCAAACGCCCGACAAGCTTCCGACCAGCAGTTTCTGATCATCCAGCCTCCAGTGCTCAAACGCCTGGGTGAAACAAAAAAACAGTTCAACGAATTCTTGAACCAGCTTTTGGCGGACGGGCAAGAGGTCATGAGAACTTAGGATCCCGTGGGTAGCTTCTTATCGCAAGAGGCTGTTTTCAAAGCAATACAACTACAACACATTTGGGGACCATGGCAGGCTCCAGTCAGCCAACTTTATCCTTTTTGGATCTTTTTGGTCTTTTGTCTTTGGCTTGTTGAAGATTGAAGGCAGCTCTGCAGCGAATTCGGAAGTACTGTCGCTTCGCAAGACTCACTAGCTTTGCTCGGTTTCCGATCTTTCAAGTGAGCCCTGCCAAGGCACAGCCGCACCAGAAAAGGGTATCAGCGGCACAAAAGCAGCTGGGGTTGAACCCTTTCCCGCCTTCCTTGCTGCAGCTGCGAAACGAGTGTTGGGTAAAGTCTGCACACAGGAGTGGGATGAAAGCATACACTGCCCACAACCCCTTGGACAACTTTGCACAATGAAGAGTTGATTAGCGATCAACTTAGCCTAGCCACTTCCAGTTCGTGTTGCCTTCTGAAAAGCAACCTCATGCCATTCTATCTTCCACTAGTGAGAGCATTGGCAAACATCAACTGGAGTAGCTTTCAAAGCGGAAAATAGGACCGCCCGACGTTCAGCGGCCCCAAAATGCACCGAATTTTAGCTTAAATGCATCGTTGCCTCAATGCCATCCTGCAGGCTCCACTCAAGCCTGCATTGCTTCTGCAATCCCAAGACCTCCAAGTACAGAGCCCAAACCTGCAACTCCTTGGAGGGTGATCCTGGTGGCTCCCTCTGACGCATCTGGCTTGCCATTCTTGCCCGACTGCAATGCCATGAGGGCAGGTGCCACGTAGACCAAAAAAGAAGCCCCGAGGGCTCCACCAATGGCTGACGTCTTGTCCAAGCCGAAGTCAGGCACCGAAGCTAGGGCAACTGCTGACGCAACGGATGCCACAACTGTCAGGAAGTGCTGCTCAAGCCACGGAAAGCGGAACAGCTCTACAAGGGTCTTACGGAAGCAGCGTTCCAACAGTGGGAACTCAAACAGAACGCATGATCCAAGACCAATCTTTGCAAGCCAACTCAAGGGGTCGGCAGAAGAGTAATTGGCCAAGATGGATGGACCTCCAGACATTCCAAAAGTCTCAAGGCCGGTGATGGTGATCACCGCAAAGACCAAGCCAGACAGAAAGAATGCTGCCAAAGTAACAACGGCAAACTGTGGCAGCCTGCTGTTGCCCTGTCCAGTGGGACCGGTGGGACGTGGCTCAAGTTCATTGAAGATAGCTGGTGCATTGAAATGCGCAGTGAAGGCATTCGAGAGCACCGCAGCAAAAACGAAGATCTGTTGGAACAGCGTGTCGTGACCCTGGGTGGAAGCTGCAACCTGCGAGAGACTTTCCACTGCTGCACGAGCATCGCTATAGAAAGGCCCACCTGGAGCATAGGAGCCATCTAAGCAGCGGATAGTCATGACAAAAGCCAGGATGCAAACTCCTGCAAGGCCCAAGACCGAGGCAAAGGCCAAAGGTGAGAGCGAAGGTAGCAAGCAAAGGGGAAGGAGAACGAAAGTAGCGATGCTATTGATCAGCATCTCTTTGGGAACAAAGTCTTGCGAGACTGTCATAGCCAACTCCGACACTGTGTCTCCAAGCACTGTAATGCACGCAACCATCCCCGTAAAACTGCACACCAACGAAGCTGCGCTGGGCAACCATTCGAGCCTGTCACCCAATGTCTTGCTCCAAGCTTCCTGATAGGTGCGTGCACCTGTGCGTTCACACACCTCTCCGATCAAGTAGAAGCCACCTGCATTGAGGGCGCCAAAGAGGGTATACAGCAACAGCAGAGCAGCGATGCCCGATGCATGGTCACTTGCTCCTTGCTGTTCTGCTGCGTCAAAGACTTTGGCCGCCCCAGACGGAAGTGACAAGACTCCAGCTCCCACTATGCTTTTTGCGAGATTTGCCGTGCTAGCTGCGGTTGATAAATCCACTGATGGGAAATTGGCTGCAGGCGAACCACTCTGTCGAGTTTGTGGTGGCAGGACAAATGTAGCATTTTCTGAGGCTATCCAACTAACAGCTTGAAAAGCTCCGTACAGCGCAATGGCCGCAATGGGAATGCTCCGGCTGTTTCTTTCTTTCTTCGTCCATTTGGCCGTGCTCCGGGCCATGCCTGCGCACTTTACAGAGTTGGTGCCGCAGCCTTTTGGAGCTGTACCGAGCCAAAATGTCAAAACGAGCAAAGTGAGCAAAGCATGCAGGTGCTTCGACACATTTCGACACATTGAAAGAAAGGTCCAAATGCATCCAGGTCAACTTTGAAGAAAGTGAGTTGTACCCAATCCAGCCACATCATGGAAACACGCAAATGACATGTTTGCCGCTGTCCCCAATGAACTCTGCACGCAGCTCTAGTGTGGGAAGACTATCTTTGCATCAACGGAGCAAGTGGCAAGCGGCTTCTACTGCCTGCCTCTCTGCCTCTAGCAAGAGATTCATTGATGTTCTCTCTTACACCACTGTCGTGTAGATCCTGCACACTTTGAAAGACCGATCTCCCCACACGAATCCTCAACCTATGCGCAGTGCCCCTCAGCGTCTCTTTAGAGAGGTGGGACATCCTTTCGTAAAGATTTGCAGTGTTAAAGATTCGCCTCACTTTGGAGTGCATGGTGGCCTTGGCGAAAGGGATCTTCCGTGGCATATCTTTTCTTGGCCCCCACCAGCACTAACCATGATGCTTGCCCAGCCCTGTGAGCCTGCAAAACCAACACGGTCAAACTAATAACCAGGACAACTACACCATTGCTAATTCCAGCTGTGGCATTTCACTGACGGCCTTGCAAGTTTTCTGTTCCAGGATTGTCTTTCTGATAAATCCACATGTGCAGCAACCACAGGGGAAGTGGAAAAGGGGCATGCCGCGACACGACCTTAAGGTGCCCAAATGATGAGATGGAGAGAGAGAGGGGAGAGAGAGAGAGAGAGAGAGGAGAGAGAGAGAGAGAGAGACAGAGACAGAGACAAAGACAAAGACAAAGTCAAAATACAGCATGTGTGTGTGTGTGTCTGTGCGTTTGGCTGTGTTTAAGATTGTTGCCATCTAAATGTCCAATTGCCAAGAAGCGCAGCAGCACCGCCCTCGTGGCTCCACAAGAGCTGGCGGCGAGGTTCAGTTTTCCATCTTTGAGCTTTCACTCACGTCTGTGCCACCATTTGCAACATCATTCATTATAATCATTACAAATTACAATTCATTATATACTTCCCTCTCGGCCTGTGGTCCATCTTTGTGGCTGCTTGTGGAAGCATCCTGGGCAGCATGAATTGACCACAACTCTGACATGTTCCCAGAAACTCAGGAGAAACTGAAGTCCCGGCCAAATATCGAGAGCTCTGCCTTCGCAAGCTGTGCCTCGCACGACCTCCTGCAGCATGCTAAACAGCGCAAACTATGCCAAGCTTTTTTAACATCAAAGGACTAGCAACAATGAGTTTGTTGAAGCAAAACAAAAGGTGAACTGCCGTGTAATCAAACAAGAATATGGAAAATGAATAAACTGTTGGGTTTGCCAATGGCATGCAGCTGGATCGTAGGGGCTTCGCGCGCCAGTACAGCCGCATCGAGGCGAGTGGTAGCTCCAAATGTCTGAGGCACCAACTCGGTAGTCTGATGCCTTCAGGGTGACATAAAATACGTTCTGCAATGTAGCATCGCTGATTTTCTGTTCAGAGAAGACTGTTGCTGGATTGGTCTCCTATCAATCAGCAAAGCCCGCAAAAAACGACGACAGCAGCACGGCACCTTCAACTTGGTCATGTCTGCAATGGGCATGCGGATGACCTTGTCACACCTCAGTCTCTCAACCACGACAATATGACCACGGGGTCGAACCAGCTAAGGAAAAAACAAAGTACAGTACCCACTTGAAAAGCAGCGAGCTGAAAAGTACAGAAGCTAGGTGTTTGGCACGGGCTCCGCTTCCTCACGCCAAAGTGCCCAGAAGAAGCCAGTTGCACAAACTGGTGATATGGCCTGCAAAAAGAATTTCTCTAGGAACACATCCTGCAGGGCAACCTCCGCTGAGGGCCTTGGGGACAAGTAGCTGGCACCGGCTGGCACTGGAAGGGAGGAGCAAAGGCGGTCACCAGGTCCCTACCAAAGGCCCTACCAGAGGCCCTACCATGTCATTCAGTGAATACCAAGTGCAAGTGCCAGGCCTTCGCTCAGGATTGAACTTCAGCAGGTTGAGAGTCAAAGATTTTGCCTGACCATTTCGCAATTCTTTGCGGATAGCTATACTTAAATTATACATGATCGATCATGTTTATTTGTAGTTGTGTGTCTTTATCATGGATTCAGACGTAATGTACATCTGGTTTTACAGAAGCTCTCATCTCTTGAGGAAACATTCGCTCCTGCTGTGGCAGCTTGAGGAGGCAGAGCACCCCAGACCTGGTTGAATGGCGTTGACTCCATTGACTAAACCTGACACAAACTGCCTCGTGATGAGTTCGCCATGCCACAACCATGAGTGAAACATCGGTTTGCTATCCAGCTGCTCCACCGCAACAGCAAAGGCTGAGCTTTCTGCGGAGGCATTTGGTCACGTACGCTTCCGAAGTTCTCCAACTTAAGGCAAAGTGACCGGCTCATGGTTGGTTGCTGCTGACTACATGACTTCAAGAGGAGAATGTCTAAGCAATCCACCATACTTCTGGCCTTAAAGCTGAAGCATGACGCATGACCGAAAAAGGGCTAGCAGAGTCAAAGTACCAGCTACGATGGCATTTGCATGTTGCAGCATGCTGCACAAATGTTTGTCCACTTCCTTCATTCGCTGGGATTACCAGACACCCACCAGTAGTTCAATCGGTTTCCAGTGTGACTTCAGACTTCAGATTGCAGCAACTAATGTGCATGGTCTAACCAGCCTGACACATCCTCTGAAGCCAATGCATACTGCGAAGTCGTCACGATTGAACCTGAAGTTCTGCAACCATTGATGGCAAGCTGAAACTGCTGAAGTTCTTCGCTCCCTGAGCAGCTGACGCAGGTCTTGCTCGCTTGTCTTCCCTGTCCTTGATCACACGTTTGTTGTGAGAATATACTTGTATATACCAACACGCACACCATCATCAAACATACACAATTTGCAAATCTCATGCATATATATATATATATATATCATTTTATATCTCTGTATGTGTTGTACGTGTTGTATGTGCTGTATGTGCTGTATGTGTTGTATGTGTTGTATGTGTTGTATGAACTGTATGTGTTGTATGTGTTGTATGTGTTGTATGTGCTGTATGTGTTGTATGTGTTGTATGTGTTGTATGTGTTGCATGTGTTGTGTGTGTGTTGTATGTGTTGTATGTGTTGTATGTGTTGTATGTGCTGTATGTGTTGTATGTGTTGTATGTGTTGTATGTGTTGTATGTGTTGTATGTGTTGTATGTGTTGTATGTGTTGTATGTGTTGTATGTGTTGTATGTGTATGTATGTGTTGTATGTGTTGTAGAGACGGGTGTGTTACCACGTTATAAACGTCAATTTCTCAACCATGCTTTGAAATGTCATAACCAGTTTATAAAAACATTTCTTACCATTTTCGAAAAATGAATTTACAACATTTTATATTGTAAGTCTTCCTGGCGTGAATCTACAGCCCGTAGCTTGAGATACTCAGATTCTAGCTTGAGATACTCAGATTCCAGCCGTTCCATCCCCGTAGCTTGAGATACTCAGATTCTAGCTTGAGATACTCAAATTCCAGCCGTTCCAGCCCCGTAGCTTGAGATACTCAGATTCTAGCTTGAGATGCTCAAAATCCAGCTGTTCCAGCCCTGTAGCTTGAGATACTCAGATTCTAGCTTGAGATACTCAGATTCTAGCTTGAGATACTCAGATACTCAAATTCCAGCCGTTCCAGCCCCGTGCTTTGAAAAATAGCATTGAAAACGTCTTCAAAGCGCCCGCTTTGAAAAAATACCCTTTGAAAGCCTGGCTGTAGAAAACCTCTTCCAAGCGCCCGCTTTGAAAAAAATACCCTTTGAAAGGCATGGCTATAGAATAGAAAACCTCTTGAAAGCGCCCGCTTTGAAAAATACCCTTTGAAAGGCTTGGCTGTAGAAAACATCTTCAAAGCGCATGTTTTTTGAAAAATAGCCTTCCAAAGGCCTGGCTATAGTAAACCTCTTCAAAGCGCTTGCTTTGAAAAAATCCCCTTTGAAAGGCCTTGCTCTTCAAAGCGCCTGCCTTTCGAAAAAAAGCTTTGAAAACGTCTTCAAAGCGCCCGCTTTGAAAAATAACTTTAGAAGGCCTGGCTGTAGAAACCTCTTCAAAGCGCCCGCTTTGAAAATTCCCTTTGAAAGGCATGGCTATAGAAAACGTCTTCAAAGGCCCTGCTGTGGGAAAAACACTATACTAAGCGTGAGCTGGTCTTCTGAATGGATGAAACACTTACGAAGGAAAATGATCGGGAAATGGGCCGGGAGTCGGCGGGGAAAATGGGAAATGAGCGGGAAATGAGCGGGAAATGGGCCCGAAATGAGCGGGAAATGAACGGGAAATCAACGGGACATGAACGGGAAATGAGCGGGAAATGAGCGGGAAATGAACGGGAAATGAGCCGGAAATGAGCAGGAAATGAGCGGGAAATTGCGAACACGCCCACACCGACGGGCGCAGCTGTCTTTTTGCTCGCAAAGAGTCTCGCGGTAAGCGGAGCTACGTTCGCTACTCCTAGCGAACCAAGTCGCACTACCCTTGTGGCGCAACTTGAGAAGTGAAACTACTGTACAACATGCAACACGAAAAACTACGGGGCAGACCCAAGCTACATCTAATGGCATACTACACTCGCCCCTCAGCTTAGGCTGCCCGCGCTGATGCCACGAATCGCGGGCACCAGCCGCGAGGGGGTGCGGCACGTCCCTCGCCTCTCTTATGCCGCGCCTTCGTGATCTTCGATCGTGATCCCTCCTTCATAGATTTACTCGAAGGCGCGCAGCCACTTCTTGGCTGTTTCACTCTCCTGAGAGATCTCGAGCGCCACTCCAGCCTCATAGTTGGCCTTCGATGAGGTCGTAAGATTGCAGCTTCCCACAACCAACTGAACCGGAGAGCGCCGATCCTCCCGGTCGGTCTGCACATACGCAGACTTCCCGTGCTGTAGGCCGCGCAGTTTGCGCCCCAGCCTTACTGCCCTATTGTCCCTTTCATCATCTGGAGCTGCGTCTTGGTCTTTCCAGCGGCTTGCGAGCGATCTGCGACGACCATAGTCAGGCAACCCCTCTCAGTTGCTTGTTTCAGGCTATTGATCACGTCTGGCTGATCAAAAGAGTAAGCCCGAACCAGCACGCGGCCGCCCTTTCCCACGGACTCCAAGACTTGGACGGGCCAGTCAAAGGTTTCAGCGTCACGCAGGAACTTGACCCTGCATCGGTCCATCTCATCGCTCTCGGCCTTATCCTTCAAGGCCTTAGGTCGGGGAATGACAACTGATACAGATTCAAGAGCTGTCGTTGGCTCATCCACGTTGCTCCCTCGACTGCTGTCCAAACTCAGGGACTCCTTGATGACCTTTCTTTTGAAGTCTTGGGCGTCCTCAATCGCATTTGTCTGCGAAGGAGCTTCTGTGCCCTTCAGGGTCTTCGCCTTTTCCACAAGCCCTTGGAAACAGCTCCCCAAGCCGAGACCCAGTTCAAGCCCCGTCATGGACCTCCTTGGCCGATCCTCACTTCCGCCCATTGCCGCAATGCCACGAGCAGCAGCACTCGAGGATGACCCGGTGCCGACCATCTTCCGATCTTTGCATGCAATGTGGATGCATCACATGAAAGTTTTGTTTATTAGATTACTTAACCTGACAGTGTCGCCATGTTTCCTGGACGTTTTCCCAACGTCCCTGACACAATGTGGAACTTTGGTTGGAATCCGCAAACGATGGGACTTCAAGGTCAATTTTGTGGAGGTGACATGATGAATCAATCGTCACAAGCTCAGTCTCAAGCTCAGACTCAGGCTCAGATTGCCGCTCTTAGGGAGCAGAATGCGATTCTCAATCAACAACTCACTTCACAAGCTCAATCTCACATCCAACATCTTCAGCAACTCATTCCCTTCCATCAACCTGCTCAACAGGCGCAAGCCACATCCACTCCACCGACTCCACAACCATCCGGGCCTCAAGCGCCCGATCCACCAACACCAGTGGTACCTCAAACCACTCAAGCTGGACCTAATCCATCCTTCAATCCTGAAGAGATGATGCAACAGATGAAGCACACAGTTGAATCCAGCATTCAAGCCTTCGTGGACAAAACTCAAGAGCGCAATATCAGCCAACCTCCTGCACCAGCACACCCACCCACTCCAACCTATCCACAGAACATCAGTCACTCTCATCACTTGGGAGAATACTCGAAATCCATTCGCCGATCCCCACGAAGATCCCGGTCCCATCGCCATCGATCCATGTAAAGGAGACATGACAAACGGCCAGTCTCCATGAATTCCTAGGAGCCCTCGACGTCGAAGATCCACAAGAAGAGTCCGTCGCTCTTCACGACCTCGATCCTCCTCCAGGGAATTTTTCAGCCCCAGACATGCTTCACGCAGGCAGAGCCACGTCCATCACCCTACGCTCAGCGTCTCCACAACACCGAGAAGGACGACATCGTGCACAAGATCATCAACCACCACGGGAAACCACCAATCCACCAGCTACTCTCCAACCAGCCTCGTGGGACTACTACCCACAACAGTCCTCACACCACACCACCACTGCATCACAGTCCTACCACTACGACCAATCGTCCACCAACCAGTGGCAATCCTGGGGACAATGGAAAGATTATTCCAATTCCTCCAACTCATCACATCCATCCAAGTGGATTGACTACTCCAAACCATCAGCTGGCTACAATGATTCTTATGACTCTTCCACAAAGCCACTCACAGCATTCTCCTCCGACCACACCACATCTCATCGCCAGAAGAAACGACCACCAAGCACACCGGGGTCTGATCAATCCCAAGCTCCTGCCAACGTCCCTCCAGGACACGTAGCCATCAACCTTCAAGAAGGTTCCAAGGAAGAGTGGTTCAGAAACATCAAGTATGCCTTGAATCATCCTGAGCGGATGCGAGCGGCTAATGAAATCGCGCAAGGCGACAGACCTCAACCGACACAAACTATTGGATCACCAGGAATACGAAAAAGCCTGCGAGGCTTTGAAGAAGGTCGACAGCCGCATTCCCCCGGATGTCATCAAAAAAAGCGATCCAGCTGTTCTTCAGCACACACCTCCTTTCTGCCTACGATCTAACACAAGCACAGATCCTCGAACTTCCTTCCACCAACATGATTGCACTCATCCTCCCTGTACCTGACACCAGGCACTTTCAGATGCCACCTCCATTTCGCAAGCGACAAAACCACACATGGGTGCTACTTCATGGGACGACACTCCGTACATCCCAGCTGATCCTCCTTGAGGGCAAGATCAGACCAGCAAACTGGTCTTAGCACAAGAACCTTCAACGGTGTGACATGCCAACCTTCGGAGCCTTCTACTTGGGCAGAGAAGTATCCAACAGTGACAAGACCATCCCAGACTGGGCGGCAAGAGAGCTTCTCGACACCATCCAGAAGAAAGGGAAAGGACAACAAGACATTGTCATTGGGGCGATGTATCGAGGTGCAAATGTCCACACCGCATACAAAGCTGGTGGCAACGAAATGGCGCAGCTTGCTGTAGCCGACAAGGGAATCGTCACGGGTCTGAGAAGTACACGATTGCCCACAGCAACCACGTGGGATTAAAGTTCGTTGCCCTGAAGTGGCAAAATGTGACCGACAAGATAGATGTTGGCGACTCGAGCTCAGATGAAGTAAACTATCGCCCTACTGAGGAACGATACTCAGGTCGCCATCGACAGCAGGACCTCATCA